CAAACAACTTTAGTATGAAAGCCATTTCTTGTCTTTTCTACTTATGTGGAGTGTTTGAAAAGTAGTTATATTTAGATAAAAGTAAAATTTTTATGCATCATACCTTTCAAACAATAAACATGAAGAACATTGTTTATGTCAGAAAAAAACATTTATTTGTGTGTTGGCTTTTAAAAGAAGAGGGAATTAACTGTTTTATGTAACTGCTTACATGCTCAAATTTAAGTAGAGTATTATGAACCCTGTTGAAATCAAGTTTAGGTTAAAAAGAAAATAAAAGTCCCTGTGTAATTATTACGAAACCATTCTATAAAGTGCATTGATATAAAATTGAAAATTCCAAATAAATTAAAATTCTACTACTACTGTTGATACCCATATGCATTTTAATATGACAATATGAGGGCCTTTTCAATGTGACAAAAAGCAGGGTCAAACCTGGCAATGTATTTATCTGTGTAGGTGCATAAGTAAGTCTGACAGTTTTTGGGTGGATGTAAATCAGCTGTGACCTCAACTCACCTAACACAGCCTACCCAGATGTGAAAGGGAGATTTTCTGTGAATGCACTGCTTTCTACTACCCCAGTAGAACAGCAGTTCTAGGGGAAAATGTTAAAATATTTTAATGATGAGATATTTTAAATTCTAAAAAAAATCCAGTGGAGCCTTCCCATAGCAGGAAAAACACTGCGGTGCATCCTGTCTTACAGAGTCATCACAACTCCATACCTAAGGGAAATGTTCCTGAAATCCAGAGAAACAGAAAGGGTCAGGATACAGAATATAAGGAGACAGTATTTGCCCACTAGAAAAATCTTCTCAGTGGAGTATTTTCTGTTCTACAACCTCTACCTTGATGTAGAAACAGATCTGATATTTGCCACCTCCGTCAGATTCTCACAAATCCTTCATAGTTAGGATCACGCAGGATAGGTTTTCCATCCCCAGGAAACACACAGAGACCTCCAAGTATTTTCTTTTTGCACTGATTTCAGAGTAGCAGGATTACCTCTGCAGAAATCCTCAACAGCCCTCCCTGTGTGTTTCAGGTATTGGATTGATGGCAAAAAACCCCCAGAACTAGAGGTAATGATTTCCAGGTAATGAAGGCAACAAAACCAACAAATCCAAAAATATTTCACAGCTGTACAGAATACAAGTGACAGCTGTGGCTAGAGAGAATCACAGATTTATGGGAAACATATGCTGATAAAAGCTTTTTCTTTTTTTCTTTTCCTTTTTTATTTTCTTGTCTTTAGATATAGGGAGATAAATTTTAAGTGTATTTTAAAATAAAAATTAACCACAAAATCTTTCCAAAATACTTCAAAAAGTAAGTTTCTTTTTTACTGACTTTGCAACAACTGAAGATCCTTGAAGAAGAAGATCATTAAATCCAGATAGTTCTCCTAGACTGAAAAAACATTGAAAATCTCAAGCTCCTCAGGGAGGATATCCAATGTCTTTATTCTGTGAGGGGTTAGGATCATATCTGTTACAGAGGATAAACTCTCACATCCTGGGCAGATCGCCAGTGAGCAAGCAAGTTCCAGAGTTTACGAGGTTAAAACAAGCACATGGCATTTTTATCTCAAAAAAAAAAAAAAAAAAAAAAAAAACCCAAAACAAAACCAAAAAAACACAACCCAGCAAGGTGTGTTCTGCAGCTGCTGAAATTTCCATATTATTTTAGAAGTGTCTTATATGGGACATCTTAAAGTAAAGACTGTTTAAAGACACGGTGGTCTGCATGATTTGAGGTTGTTCTCCTGAGGAATCTCTGTCAACTTCTTGCTGAAGAGCACTCAGATACATCCTGGAAAGGATGCTGTGTGTTACTCCCAGCTGGGAGAAGACCTCCATGGATACTTTCAATGTATTTCTCACACTGTAGTGCCTGCTTTCTCTAGAGCAAGTTTCAAACAGCAAATTTCCCTCCAAAAAAATTCATTGGGGTGAGAGTGGTAGAGGCCATAGAACATATTTCATTACTGCACTCAGATACAGAAGTTCCCAATATCTTGGCAAATTTATCAACTTTACAAACATCTGTGAGAAGACTCCCCTGTATTTTTTTCTCCAGGTATTTATTTCAAGATTTTGCATTTTGTTAGATGTTACTCTAGTTCATTTGTGAACTGTGTAGACGTACAAAGGGCTTTGTGGGGTTTTTTTACTTTTGAATGTGAAGGGGAAAAAGAAGTTCATTCACCATAGATCGTGGTCTGATGTTTTTGTTAGATTAAGTATTATCTTGTCTTTTTTGACCCAGGAAAGATTTCCAGATTTAGAGAACTTCTGTGCATAAACTGAGACTAGCTGGATTAAAGGCCACAATCCCAATCATCAGGTGATTTAACTCAGCAGAACCTAATTGAAGTCAGTTTCATACCAATCAAACCAGTGGTGATATGGCAAAACTCTTAGGGCATGTAAAGCAGACTACTGATTTGTAAACACCTTATTTTTATTAGTCTGAAAAGTGTACTGTGTATTTAACAGTATAAAGTGAAACAGCACAGACAGAAATCATTACTTCCAAACTGGCTCTTTGGAAAGGGAAAACCACCGATTTTTATTGGTAATGAACCTGCAATGACTGGAATGACCCTGTAGGACAAATATGAACATTTTGGTAAGCTTTCAAATATTTATTGAAACATCGTTTGAGCATCATAGTCTGGATAAACACCCTTTCACAATTTCCAGGAAAAAAGACACATAAGGAAAGCTCTTCTAACATTTATGTGGAGGTGTGTGGAAAAAAACCAGTAAGTCTGGATTGAAGTAAAGGCATCTATTCTGGCTGTTTCATTTTCCTAGAGAGGGCTGGCATGCCTGGAAAGGTGGCAGGAGTTTCTGTTGCTGGATGCTTTCGTATGTTACTAAATAGCCTAAATAGAGGGAAGCTTTGTAGCAAGGTTTCTTCTTCCAGTATGCACAAGCACACATCTTGATCTTCATCTACATGCACAAGTTATTAAAAAAAACTCTTTCCACTGCTCTGAAGGCCAAACATAAAAACAGTATTGGACAAATGTTTTCCTTCCATCTCAAGATGTTATTACCAGGGCTGCCCCTAGCATGTTATTGTGTCTTTGAAGGTGTCCTAGTCAGGGTAAGGCCAGAGATCATGATAAGCACATTTCAGGTGTGGCTCTGGTAAATTACTAAAAAAATATTTAGGGCACAGATCTAAGGTTTATTTCGCCAAGTGATTGCTCTAAAAAAAGTGGGACGGACACTGCTTCAAGTGGGAACAGTTTTTCTTCGGGGATTTTCTCCTCCTTAAAATGCCCTCTATCACACTGAAAGACATGGAACTAACAAGTCATTTTAAGCAGAAACTTTGCAGTTATGCTTTGTTGTACAGAAAGAGAGAAAAAAGAAGGGAAGAAAAGTACATCCATGGAAAAAAATAATAAATGCCTTTTCCCCCGGTGTCATGTCTTTGGATATGTACAGCCTTGGAGAAATGTATAAATAATTTTGTACATGGAACTCTTAAAAAACTAGAGATTTTTAGTACAAAGGAATCAATTCACTGCAAGAATGTCCACATGCTGTTGCTTTATGATTTCCTATATACACGAGAGGACCAAAGAAAGGACCTCTTTTACAGTTACTGCTGTACTGTACATTAACATGTGGCTAATACCCTTCTCTGGGTGAGATTTACACTCAGTATTACAAATAAAGTAACATTGCTGAAAATACTGATACAAAACAGCTTCAAGATGACATTTTAAAAATATCCCTCATATTTATTGAACTGTTTTTTTCCAGTTTTTTAAAGTTTCAGCTCTATAAAAGATTCTCCAAGAAAATAGTAGCATTTGAAATGCTATTTTTGAAGTTTATAGATGGATTTTTTTTTAATAAAGTGTAATCCAAAAGTCCATTTTCCCAGGAAAAAAACAACTATAGATACAGCACATAACCTAAAACTGAAGAGGGTGTTGGTTTGTTTTGTTTTGATTTTTTTAAACGTAGTACAGTACATTTGTATCCTGGAAAAAAATTCCTTGATTACAGTGTCTGTTTATTTACAGATCTGAAATTGAATTGCATACATGAGCTCTTGAGATGAGCAATACTGAAATTAATTGATAGCAAGAATTAATTGTCCTTTCAATCTACCATGACTTTAAGATATTGCTAAGAAGAAGTGATTCTGAGTAGTGAAATTATCTTATTACTATTTTAAACTTGCTTGGTAGACTTTAAATTATGAGTTTCAATGCAGGACTGGGAGTCTTGAATGCCCACAGTTAATTCGATAAAGCTGTGTTCGTAATTTTTGCACATTCTGTTTTGGCAGTAGCAATGCACACATGAACATGAAGAATTTTGGCAAATGTTTGTCTTGGTTCTAATGTATCCCTCTCTGGATATCCAAAATTATCACTACAGAATATTTAGACAAAACCTGCTCTCTTCAATATCAGATGATGTAATAAATTCCGCTCTAATAAAAATAAAATCCTCAATAAACAGAAGCCTGAAATTTCAGGCTGCTGAAGTTACTTTACAGAATATCTGCCAAGATAATGGTCCATTTTTTAGTTTAAGCAAGATGTGTTAATAAAATTTCCTTGTAATAACCCAAATATTAAATAGCAAAGCAGATATATTTAACACTAGGTAAAATTTTGTCTTTATTTCGTATACTCTATGTGACTTAACTTTTAAAAGTTGCAGAGTTTTAGTGGCTACAGAAGCTTTATTTTTCATTATATGCTATCTGTTAAGTCACAACGGCTTGTTTTTGTGTTTGAGAATGTGCTGCAGCCTTGTCCTTCCTTGTTAATCACTGTTTAAAGAGAGAAGTGACTTGTCCCAGGTCTGCCTCAATCATATTTAAATGTGCCAAATTATTTTTAAACTACTCACTGCACATGCCATTTTAACTCAAACAGATTACCCTGGACCAGAGAGGTTGTAAACCAAGTGTCATGTTTCACATATGCCACATGTTTGGAGTAAGTGACTGAGGTTCCCAAGCCTCTGAGAGGGGAAAACCAGATATTTTGCAACCGACAGGTCTCCAGGTTCTGTGGCGTGGTCAGATGACTTCATACTCCCAGAGACCAGGCAATAAATTAATCTCACTTGTCTGTTACATGTCAAGACTAACAAACCCAGTGAGATGGTGTAAACCAACACGTCCTGAAGTGCAGATGATACAGCCCACAGAAATTATGACTGATGCATGTTGTTCAGCCTGGGTAATAAGATGATTTCTCTTACTTTAGGCTTTCACACATTTTTGGTTTGGGAAGTGGAATGAAATTATAGGATGAATTACACAGCAGAATGTCACATCGCATCATGAGTGCTACAGTGCCTGTAAAGCACAAAGATCACCACCACTTGACATGCCCTCATAGAACCGAAACACTCAGAGAAATGTAGCTAAATAGAAGTGTGAAGAGGGAAGGGGAGGTTGAGGAAAGAAGCTGACATCCTCAGTCTGGGACCCAATTTACTGACTCAAATACCTGGCAACCCTCTATGAACCTGTTAGAGGAAAATCAATTACTTCCTCCACTTGTAGCATGAGGCACTCATGAAACACATACAGCAGGAAGTGGTAACGCTCTGTAAGTTACCAAATTTCACTGTATTAAAAAAAATGTGTAAAAAGAGGGTCCTTAAAGATTTCTGACTCCTTATTTCCCTAATCTCCATGGAATTCAAGAGGGTTTACTAATTACTTATCTATTTATTCCTCACATCTACTTTAACAGTAATATTATTAAACATACAGGTTTTATTTAAGATCATCTTCTAGAACTTTAGGGAATCATAGTGACTTACAGAGGGGTAAAATATATTTAGCCAACATTGGACTGCCAGCCAAATGGTCCCATTTATTAACTCATGGTGACTTCTGCATGACAAATCAGCCCAGATATTTAACAATCTCGTTCATCCTTTTGCCTCAGTCCAAGGTGGGAAAATATGGAACCTACAGACAAAGTTAAATTTTTATTGTTTTTTTTTTTCACATGAAAGTAGCAGCAGATGAGAACTGACGACAGAGCTCTAGGTGAGCTTACATCCCTCTTTAATCAACTCTCCTTCCATGGCAAGAAAATAAGCACCTTGTTAGCCATCTTGTTGACCTAAAGTCTGTAGCTCTGCCGTGTGCAGGTTGTGGTGGAGGAAAACGTTCTTCCTGCTGTACATGTGTAGGGAGATGGGTCCCCTGGGGGGCTGTCCCAGTCTCCCTGTGAAGGTGCTGTGCTGCCGAGGCACAGCGCTTTGGTCCTTGGGAGCCCCTGGGAACGTGGGGAAGCCGTCGGCCTTGGACGCGGCCTGGGCTGGGCTGGTGGCCATGACTGCCAAACCGTTCTGGGCGGCCTCTGGGGCCAGGGCCTCGTACGTGCCCCGCGTGTGCTTGATGGCTTCCACGAGCTCCTTCTCCTTCAGGAGGCTGCTCAGACACAAATTAGACAGCTGGCAGCTCTTGCTCTCGTACGCTGCTGCTTGGTTGCCCGGTGGGTGTCTAAAAGGGTCCTCGGTGGGAGTAAGTGCTGACTTTTTGTCCCTTGAGCTGAGGTTTTGGCTCGCCGTTCTGATTGGATATGTAGTCTGGGGAAACAAAAGAAGACAAAACATAAAGTATTAGCTGTGACCGTGGTCACAGGGGTTTGCAGGATGAGAGAGAGACGAGAATGTTGAATCCATGATCAGAAGGCTTGATTTATTATTTTATGATATATATACTACATTATAACTATACTAAAAAGAAATAGAAAGGAAAAGGTTTCTCAGAAGGCTAAGCTAAGAATAGAATAGAAAAGAATGATAACAAAGATCTGTGTCTCAGACAGAGAGCGAGAGCAGCTCTGCCGTGAGTGGTCAGTAAATCCAAACATCCACAGGAGACCAATCACGGATCCACCTGTTGCATTTCACAGCAGCAGATAACCATTGTTTACACTTGGTTGCTGAAACTTCTAAGCTTCAGCAGGAAAAATCCTAATGAAAGGATTTTAATGAAAAGATGCCTGCGACAATTAGCAATGGAACACAGTAGAGAAATGTTGTGCAGTACATAAACCACTCCTCACTACACATGAACAGCACATGGGTCTGGCAGATTAAAATGAAAGACAACTCCAATTGATGGTAAAACTTCCAAAACTTCATTCACATTTAATAGCACTAGGATTGAAAAATGTTTTCTACAGGAAATGATTTGGCCATTTTCCTTAAAAAATAGTTTAAATCAAAGGAGGATTTCTTTTTCAGAACATAATAAATGGATAAGAAGTTTTCATGAATTGTAAGCAGATTTGCAAAAGCATTTCACATAATGAAACAAAGAGAATTTTGATCACATAGAGTTCAACACTTAATACTCTCAAATCCTTACAAAATATAAAGAACATATTTTCTAAATATCTTTGTGCCTCGGTTAAGCTAAGAACATGTTCAATTTTCACCATCCCTTGAATCCAGGGGTTTTGTTGTGTATTTACAAGTCAAATGCATGCTACAGGAGAGCACAAATTTTATTTCAGTTGTCTGGAAAAAATACAATGTAAGAAAGATTCCAGCATGTTATCAACTTCTGATGTTGTGCAAGCATGCATGCACCTGATTTTGCTGAAATTATGGTAATTTATCTGTGCATGGGAAATCAGATCACTGCAGACTTTCAGTGTGTGCCTGGTGTGATGCTTCGTACTGTCCCTAGAACACCTGACTGGGGAGGAGATGATGGCACCCTTTCCCAGGGAATGGTTAAAGCAACTGGTTAATTTGAAACACATGTCAAATTTGACTCCTTACAGATTTTCTGCAACAGAACTCTGAAAGGACACAGGAGCAGCTTCTTGACATTTACATTCACATATGGATTCTGATGTTGCAGAACAAAGCTGAGAGAATAAAAAATACTACCGAGTCTTCCAACAATATTTGGCTAAAAATCTTTCATGGTGTTTCCATGATTCCATAGGAAACTCAGATCTATTGTTTCAGAATTAATTGTATCATTTCACATAAATTTCTATTTTAAGCAGCAGAGAAGAATGATACTGTCAGTATTCATAGCTTAAACCCTTTTTTTAAGGCTAATGCTCATGATTCCATGCAGAGCCATATGCAGGTTTGGATATAAGGACTGCAATGCATTTCAGGCATCAGAGATGATATTTAAAAAAAAATTATTAGGACTGGAACATAATTCTTTCCCACTTTATTCAGTGCTGATTTCACACAGATTTATAAATGGGAGTAGAACACTTCTAGAAAACATGACTTCAGCTTTTATATCTGCAGCACATAGGTGTTGAAATGAAATTCCATTTAATTCCTAGGATATCATTCTTAGGAGTCTGTAAGTTCAAACACTTTTCATCTATCTATCTATCTATCTATCTATCTATCTATCTATCTATCCATCCATCCATCCATCCATCCATCTATAAATTATTTATTTTCATGTCAGTAAATATAATCTTCCTACTGGGATGAGAGTAAAATTTAATGCCCGGTCAAAAATCCAAGCATTTATTGTAAGGGAATGATTCAGGAGTTACCATAAGTCACCTGGTACCTTCGAAAAGCTAAAGATTGATACAGAACCTTAGAGGCACTTCATTGTGGGACCTCCAGTCTATCTTGAGCTTCTGATTAACCCCAATTTATCCCTCTGGATATTTATGGTCCTTAATCATCTGTTTAAGGACCTTTATCAATGTAACCTGTGCAGCCTTCTCCTGTAAGATTTTTTCACTATATTACTGTTACTTTTAGAAAGATCTTCCTAATGTCTAAACTGTATCTTTCTGGCTTCAAGAACTTCATTCTCTCTCTCTCATGAAAACGAATAAAGAATTGCTGTTGATCTTGAATACCTGTTTATGTCTTCAAAGAATGCCATCAAGCAACACTTTAATCCTCTCTGCTCTAGAATAAAAAAATATCACATTGCTTTTTTCTCATAGGACTCATCTGCTAGGCTCTGAGTCATTCACACTTCTCTACAGATCCCCTTCAGTAATTCCACCATTTTTTTCTTGAAGTAGAAGGCTCAGGAGTACAGTACTCAAGGTAACCCCCCACCATTATGAAGCAGAACAAACACTATTATTGTCCTATGAGGGACTTCTGCTTCTTATTAATTACTCCAATAGGAGGCTAGTGATTTTATTTGGGAACAGCATGAAATTGTTCATTCATCTTCATCTAGTTGTCCACAATATTTTCATGATTTTTAATGCAAAAGTATACCTAAATTCAGTTTATTATTGTCACCTATTGTCACCTATTGCTTTGTAACTTGATGAAAAGCTGTTATGACTATCTAGCACTGGGGTGTTTCTTTCCTCTTCCTTATCAAGGTTATAGTTCACTTGAAATATTTTCAATTTAGAAAATAAATGCTTGGTTTGTAGGTCTATGTAATACTGGCTTCTGGTTACTGGCCGATGGGGGAGACAAAGTGTGTGTATGTATCAATAAATGTTTAATAATATACATGTGGTTCGGGAAGGTCTTAGTTCTCTGAAACTCTAACTTGCTGAAATTCCCCTCCTATTGAATAATTAAACAAATATCAGGTGGTGACAAATTAGGAACAATCTACCTACATTAAAACACCAACAGAAATTCAGAATATCCATCATAATTTCAAGAAATTGGTTTGGTCTCCTGTCCCCAGCAATAAGATAATAAGATGGTTAACAGGGAAAGACAGACTCGTTATATCAGGTGCATAGTTACACATCAAATGAGCAGAGACTTTAATGAAACACTGCTAAAACCCAATACTATTGTTGTTCTCTACGATAAATTACAGAAGAACAGCTTCCAATCAGGAAAAGAGAGAACAGCTGTCAGACAGGAGTCAAAATCAACAAGAAATCCTCATCCCAATGACGTTATTCTCCCTCCAAAATATTGTCAATAAAGAGTCCAGGGCTGGTTTGATTTTCATGCAAGTTATTTTTTGGTACAATTGCAACATTTTTATAAAAATTGCAACATATAGGATTGAAATTAATTAATTCTTATTTTGTTGAATTCAGGTAATTTACTTTTAAAGAATGCAGTGCAACCAAATTTTCTTGCTGGTCCATTTTACAGTTATTTTACAGATCCTCATGAACTGGGCAAAATAAGAAAAATGTCCCAGAATGAGACGCATAAAAAAACTCCCAAACCAGACCAACTTTGGACCAAGTCAAACATTTATTTTTAACCTATTTCTCCTTATCTTCCTGTAGGTGATTAAGGCAAATTTCCCAGCACTGAACTTTCAGGTACCAACCGCGTTCCCTGAGCATCAGACATGAGCGAGCAGAGCCACAATCCCAGCGCATCTGTTGGCCAATTCCAAGGCTGAGTCCTTGTCCAAAGCTGAAGGTGGCTTGGTGCCAGTCGTGCTCCAGCCCAGCCTAGAGCAGCTGCAGGGCTGCTGTAAACTGCTGCTTGGCAGAGCTCCAAGGAGCCGATCTGCCAGCTGGTGGCTGCTGAAGCAAAAAATCCATTCATCTTTTTCCCTTTTATTTTTCGGTAGCTCAGCTAGAACCAACAATTTCTCTGCCCCAGAAATCCCCAATGCCACTCTATAGTCTGCCTAACTGTGGACTCAGGAAATGGGCTGCAATTAGGATGCAAATGGGGTTCTGAAATTTCTTTCAAAAGTAGCCCATTTTAAATATATGCAGCAGAAAGAAAAGGCCTCCTTTGTTGTTTCAAATATGTCTTAACCTTTAAGCAAACATCTGGATTTGAATTTCCTGATGATATTAAACACACTCACAAGAAGTGCATGCCTTCATGCTTGAGTCTACTTCCCAAAAAGGAAAAAATTATTTTAATAAAATCTGATTGGCTGTACAATTTTAGTCCATTTCTATCGTGATCACTCCTGTTTTAAGGTACATAAGTGTAAGAAAGTTCAAAATAATTTAGCTTTGATTATTCCAAACTAGTGCTAAATAAATTAGGATTGAACCAAAATGGAATCTTAATATTCTTAAAATATTCTTTCCATAATTTTTTGAGGACTCATTTTTGTGATTCTAAGTCTAATAACTTTTTCTTATTTTAAGAAAAAAACCAAGCCCCTTCAACAACCCAGTGGTAAGTAGTGAAAATGTACTACTTTTACAGAAAACTCCAGAATGAGATGTTATAAACAAAACACTGCAGCCATTCATCATTTTCCATTTTCAAAGCCAATGAGTGAAATATGACAAGAGTTAACAACAAGACAACACTGCTGCAGGACATTTGAAAATGAATATTGTTTCTGACTGTCTGGTGATAAAATACTAATAAAAAATGACGGGAAAAGACATGAATTACAAAAACACCCAAAAAAGGGTGCAGATTTTTAAGATGTTTGTGCCCAGAGGCATTTGGGAGTGTCAGATGCCTATAATGTAATTCTTCCAAGTACAGCAACTTTCTTAAATACATCATTGTGACAACAGACATAGACAATAAAACCAAACAAAACATGCTCTCATCGGTGTACCTGCTGCACCCCGACAACCAGATAATGCTGTAGCTCAAGAACATGGTTTTACCACCCCAAAGGATTTTACACTTTCAGAGGTGTTAATGGAAGC